GAAGGGGGAGAAGAAGGGGGGATGGGAGAAGAAGAAGGGAAGGAAAGGGGGGGAGAGGGTGGAAGAGGATGGTGCACGGACCAGCGAAGCATACGTCGAAACCATTGTGTAAGGCAAGTTACATGTATAGGATGTCGACACTGAGCACGAACGTAACAAGTCCATCCACGGGCCAGTGTTGACGGAGCATGACCACGGGAGAGCAAACGGCGGACAAGCATGGTTGTTGTAGTTTTGAAATCACGCCAATTGTCACAAATCTGCTCAAACCGCGTAAGCTGGCCAGTGAATACACCTGTAGACTGATGAAATGGAATGTTTGACGTTGCACTAGGATATCGTATAACAGGAAAATCCCATGCAACAGTCTTATCAAACACACTCAATTGGAGAGATCCGTCTTCTCGTGTCTGCAGTTTCGCACCTAAAAAGGTGCACGAGCCATCTTCCGCAGTGGTCTCCTTCCATTCAGGACCATAATAGGTCGACAATGGTGTCAGACAATCAAAGGTAAGAACATCATCAATGAGCCGATATGTAAAAACATATCGACGAGCAGCAGAGGGATCCACACGCTGTAGGTTGTCCACGTACTGCGCCTCATCCCAATAGAGTGTAAGGTTAGCAATCTCAGGACGAGCGTTTGTACCCATAGGGATACCGACATCTTGATGACGAACAAGGCCATCCGCTGTATATATATATATATATATATATATGTATTTGTAACAATAAACCGAAGATGTTGAAGAATGTCAGAAACAGAAAGAGTATCAGGTCCCGTATCCGTAGTCCATTCCCCTGCACACGGTCCACGGACCACCATACGAAGAGCAACACACGATGAGCGTGTCTGTGTATGCTGCCGTGCCTGTGCAAGATCATAGGCATGCGCCTCATCAACGACATTAGCAACATTGTCAAGAATCCGTTGATGAGAAAGATTAGTATACATAGTAGTGAAATGGACCGTATGTGGGGCCAGACCTCTGAGAGAAGCTTTATTCTTTTTGAGGTCAAGCATGACCTTGTCACTGCTCTGGACAATCCAACATCGTCGAATATAGCTACAGGCTTGTGAGGCGGACGGTGATGCAAACGCTGGACTTGTTGGGAGGGGTGCAGGTCACCCCGTTGGGCCGTATGAGAAGAGGAAGAGGAAGAAAGATTGTTGCGGGTGGTGATACCAAGAATAGTACGAAGTGTCGGAGGAGATTTATGGGCCTTAAGAGCACAATAAAGATACGGCAATGTGTCAGCATGAGGATAATTCCAATGACTGTTCCAAACTGCATGGCTATTCAGAATGTCGGTCGCTGATTCAGCAGGCCGAGAATACGTAGGACTGTCAAGGTGCCTGGACAATTTAAATCAATACCAATTTTTACAACAAATAGCCAAGTTATGTGATGTTTTGTCCACAGGAACAATCGCGAAAGATTCTTGAAGCTGACGCAGGGCCGTATGCGCGTGTCGCAAAGAGCGAGGTTGTCGCAATGGAGATGCGGCAGCCATATTGCACTCACAACGACGCAAAACTGTGGCACGCCAAAGAGCCAATTGTGGAGCTAGGATAGCATCGCAGGATTGTCGTGCTGTCGGATGAAGATACGCAGCAATATACTCATCAATACCAACAGCCAATGCTTCAAGTACATCCCCCACTACCCCATTCAGCCGATATTTTGAGCCCTCATAGAACAAGCGACGGAGGTAAGCATCCAGAATCAGATCATAGTTGGCAGAAACAACATGGCCGTCAACCAGGTCGGCGCAGTTAGGAAACACCCGACGACAAGGACAATCAGCATTCGCAGGTAGGCACAGGCCCGGAGTGACACTCAAGGCAACTTCCGTAAAATTACAAAATTTCACCCTTGTTGGGGGCAGGAGTTTGTCACAGATGCGAATAGTGCTAGCTGCCTGGGGGTCGGGGTGTAATGCACACACATCCGGAGAATGCAACACATGGCGCAACTTAGTGGCCTTCAGGATCTCATGCATATGCACAATCCTGATAAAGTTTCCGAAGAAGTCACAGGAATGGGCAATATATCGTTGTCGGACATGTTGAAATCGCCGGATAAGGCATTCAAATTCACGGACGTCTGTAGTCATGTCCGCATTAGAAACATTTATATACAGCAATTGCAGCAAGTGAGCTCGCCAAGTGGGCGTAGCCCGCTGAATGGAACCAACAACTTCGGACCAAGTACCCGTTGCGCCTAACGTCAATAACCACCGTAATGTTGTTCGTACTGCACGTTGAGGGCCTGGGCTAATATCAATGGTGAATGTCCGAGAGGACACGACAGGTAGAGACGGGTAAGGAGAACAACACAATGAAGAGAAGCAGCAGAGGAAGGACCAACTTGCCGCCAGTGATCGGGGCGTGGCTGCCGTCGAGCAGGCGGTAATCAAGACATGGGCAAAACTGCATTGAAGCCCGAAGGGTGCAAGGTTCACAGCCGTCGGACCCAGAAACCTTCTCTAGGTGACGCCGCCCGCCGAAAGAGGGCATGATCAATCTCACCGCGATCAATAATGTAGAGCGCACGATCAATACATTCAAGCGGCCAAACAGCAAAATTGAAAGGGGACTTTTGTCGCATAACGTGATAGAGATGCCGATGACGATAATCAGCAGCAGTATGTCGCACATGCCAGTGCTCCTTCAAACGTTGATGTGCAGTATGGATTGTTTGGCCAACATAGAGACGCCCAGAGGGTATATGCACAACAACATAAACAACTCCAGTAATAGAAAGTGGATCATTACCTGGTTGGAGCAGCTGCTGGTCAATACCTCTCAGCTGTAATTCAAAGCGCTCAGTTGCGGTGACAATATGAAGACGCCGCAATTGCTTTTTATGCCACGCTCCCGCAGAATACAAATCAGTATTCCAGCGATAATGGGCAAGCCAGTCAACACGTTGCCGATTAGAGAAGGGGGGATTACGACCTCGTGATCGAAGAGAAGGAAGCGGTGTTGTGCCTGACGCGCCACCAACAGGAAGAATCCCAAATGAACCAACCCCCTGATTTATCTGTAATGGTATAATATATTTTTGTTAAAAAGGATTATGAAAGTTTTTTTTTTTTGAGTTTTTAATTATTTATTTTTTATTTATTTTTACACGGTAGAATAAGTGGCCAGGAAAGCAGGACTATCGGCCCGATGGCTCACGCTGGGAAACCTGCCATCGTCCTTTCTGCATCCACAGAGAGGTGAGTGGGCATGGGGGCAGCAACCCGGGTTTGGTAAACTCTAGGCTCGCCGTAACTATACCCACTACATGGGAAGGCGGGACAACCCATTTCCTTGCGGTGAGCGCCATCACAACAATCCTAGACACCAAAAAGAAGGGAGAAGAATGTCACAGCACCATATCCCTTGCCAGATCACGCCCTAACAATCAATGCCACAAAAGAGGGCAATAATACGAACACAGCCTCTAAATGTAATCAAGAGTTAAAATAAACGGAACCACAACAGAGGGCCCGCAATATACAGATGCCGTTCCACATCGGGAAGAGATGGCAAGCAAAAATAAAAGAGAAATAAGAAAAAGAAAAAGGAGAAATATGAAAAAATTAAAATCTGCCATAAGGGAGAGCATATTCGTGGATGTTTTGCTGGCTTGTGATGGGGTGTGAACCGACAGTCTGTAGAGTTTTCCATCTGGTGTGGGTGAGTGATAGTCTACTTTGATTTTGGTTAAGGTAGATTATCATTTATAATGTAATCAGTGAGGGGATTCTCCAGACTGTTGAGGGTTCAGCCTCCTGATGAGTCCGTGAAACTCCGATGAAACAGTTTGTCACAGCCCCTCGTTTGTTGTCCTCTTCTCT